CTCTCACTCTCACTCACACTCACACGCACACGCACACTCTCCTCACTCACTCACTCACTCACTCACTCACTCACTCACTCACTCACTCACTCACTCACTCACTCACTCACTCACTCACTCACTCACTCACTCACTACACTCACTACACTCACTCACTCACTCACTCCACTCACTCACTCCACTCACTCACTCACTCACTCACTCACTCACTCACTCACTCACTCACATTCTCATTCACTCACCTGTGCATGCGCATACATACACACATACACAATAACTCACCCACCATCACCCTTCCATCACTCTTATACTTCCTCTTCCCTTCTTGCTTTTCTATGCTCAGTCTAAGTCTAGAGAAGTTGGTAACATGTGGGGTTATCCGGTCCTATAATTTGTTTGTTTTTTGTTTGGGGAACCATCCTGTTTCACCGATGTTTGCCAACGATGCTACACGTCTGACTTGAGCATAGAGCTCCTTGGCAGAACCAGTGCCAAAAGATATCATGCTTCATATTGAACGCGGGTTCTGGGACTGCTGGTTTGCGAGCCTTTGAAGGGCTTTCAGTTTTATTTTTTCCCCACCTGCCAGGTGAGGGTTGTTAGATTTTATCAGAGTTGTTCTTCTCCTCCTCCTCGGCTAGCTCTTCTCCTCCTCCTCCTCTTCCTCCTCCTCCTCCTTCTCCTCCGCCTGTTTCGCCTCGACCATGTCTGCATCAACTTCCACCTCAACTTCCGCCTTGCCAACTCTTCGCCAAGCTCTTTGCCAACTTCCCAGCTCAGTGTGCACCGCTGGACCTCAACTTGGGACCTTCCCAGCTCAGTGCGCACTGCTGGACCTCAACCTGGGACCTTCCCAGCTCAGTGTGCACTGCTGGACCTCAACCTGCGACCTTCCCAGCTCAGTGTGCACCGCTGGACCTCAACCTGGGACCTTCCCAGCTTAGTGTGCACCGCTGGACCCCAACCTGGGGCCTTCCCAGCTCAGTGTGCACCGCTGGACCTCAACCTGGGACCTGCCCAACTCAGTGTGCACCGCTGGACCTCAACCTGGGACCTGCCCAGCTCAGTGTGCACCGCTGGACCTCAACAGCCAGATAGAATGCCAGAAGATATGCCACATAGAAAGCTATAAGATATGCCAGATAGAATGCCAGAAGATATGCCAGATAGAATGCCAGAAGATTTGCCAGATAATATGCCAGAAGATATGCCAGATAGAATGCCAGAATATATGCCAGATAAAGTGCCAGAATGTTTGCCAGATAGAATGCCAGAAGATTTGGCAGATAATATGCCAGAAGATATGCCAGATAGAATGCCAGAAGATATGCCAGAAGATATGCCAGGTAGAATGCCAGAAGATATGCCAGATAGAATGCCAGAAGGTATGCCAGAGAAAATGTCAGATAGAATGCCAGAAGATTTGCCAGTAACAAAATGTATAAATGTCATGGTGGGGATCACACGAAGTAAAGTAATTTAACTTGAGATGATCAGTAAAGTTCCAAGGCGAGCCAATCAGATGGGGTTTTGCTTTGGATCAGCGCTGCTAGTTGGCAAACGAAAACGCACGACCAAGCAAGCTCCCTACTACAATGCCGCCAGCTTAGTGGAGGTACATTGTCCACCACGAGGCACCGTTCTCGGCTTACGCAGATATGTTCGCAGTTTGTTGTACAACTCCCCATCAGCAATTGACAGAGTAAGGCTTAAAACATTCCTTCGCAAACGCGTTGTTGCTGTTTCCAGGAATTTCCGAAGATGTTGTGTCAGGTGAAACCTTGGGTTTGCCACACTTTGGAGCAGGCGTGCAAGAGATTTTGGAAATCAGGGCCAACATTTTTTTGGTCATACGTTCAATATTTTGACGCGCCACTATTGAAACGTCAAGCAGAAAAATCGTGGAGGAGTTTGTCGAAAAAACAGGAGGTTTGAACACATTCGCATTTTATATTCAAGTGTCGCTTTGCATGGGAGAAACCCAACATGTCTCATGATTGTAGTTATTTATTTCAATTTCTGTTCATCACCGAATCACCAGGCATGCATCTACATGCAGCACCGCATGATTTGATGCGAAACTGCGGGGAAAAACAATCTTTTTGTAACTAGTAGTTCCATGCAAATGAAAGGATATTCAGGGCATAAGTTATAAGGGTTTCCGGGGCAGCCCAACCACATTTTGGGGTAAAAAAAAAAATCCTTTCGCTATTCGGGGTGACCATCATGCCAATCCCTTGTTGGCGCAGGACATCGCAGGAGGGCCCAACCATCGCTTAAAACACCCATGTGGATGACACAGGTCGATGTTGTGAGTTCAAGATTGCTAAAAATTGATGTCTGCTGGCACGTGTTGGGACATCTAGATTGCAGTTCTCTTTAATTCGGCCCACCTCATGTTCCAAAAGCGCTCCTGATCCGTCAGTTTTTGGTGATTTGATGGCAAAACAAATTCATTGAAGTGAAATTGAACTCTCATTAAAAATTCCTGCGCGTTTTG